CATTCAAGTCTTCGGTTTACCGGGCTCATAACATTGGCACAGAATCAGTTGTCCAAAAGAACCAGTTCGGTTCAGACGTGCTGTGTCAGTCATAGTAGGCCATCTGTTCAGTAGCTTCACTCTGAATCGCGCATGCGCAGTATCATCAGCTCATCGATTCTCAAATCGGACGTGTCCGAAAGAAACGGTTCTCGGTTCAGTGTACTGGTGATCCGAAAACCGATGCAACCGGTTCTTGACTCGAGAACGAGAACCGCTCCAGCAGTGGGCGTGTATGTTCGTTATCCGGCTGCTCTGCTCGTGTTCATCTTCAGTTCTCTCTTCACAGCAGTTCAGTCAGTGTACTGTTTGAGTAAATAAATTACTCCGGGATATTGGTTTATTTCGACTCAGAGGGAGTGTCAGCCATGTTAAAAAAGTGAATAACTTAAGTAATTTGTGGATTAATGCTTGCTGGAGACGCGAACCGTTTCAAATGATTCAGTCTGATTTGGTGAACTGGTTCAACCGGTTCACTAAGAAGAACCGGTTAAATCGAACGATTCGTTCGTGAACCGGACATCCCTACTGACATGCCGTGTCGGAGCGACGAAAGGAAAACTTGAAATCGCATCATATGACCCCTTTAAAAACCATTATAAACGAGGCATTTGTTGCTTCTAGTGGGGACATAATTACGGATTATAATAAATACTGTCTTTTTATGCGTTGTGTTGCATCGCACCGCGTAAACATAAAACCATGTCTGCATTTGTGATCCGAGAAATGACAAAGAACAAGCGCTACTCTACACTGCTCAAAACTCGCGTTTGAATCATCAGCGGCAAATCCTTTACATATGAAAACGTACTTACAGTCTATGAGTCAGAACTGCCGGCATTGTAGTCTACTATCCCAGGATCAGGAAACAGTCCTCCATAAAATGCGCTGCACACATCTGAATATTTGGGTTGAACTGTTCTGGACCAGTGTTGTAAATACAACTTAATCACTGATTTCTAGTCATGTCCTCTTTTGGAAGGACAAACAAAGTAGTTTTGCTTTCACAACGAAACACACAGCGTCACAAACAGCGGGCTTGAGTGAGCAGCGGCGGGCGGGCTAGAGTGAGCGGGGGCCGGTGGGCTTGAGAACGGCACGGCCGGCGGATTCGACGAAGGAGCAACCGGCCGGATTGCAGCAACCTCATGTGATCAGCTCTAGGCATGACGAAGCGGATATCGTCCTCTTTTGGAAGGCCAAACAAAGTAGTTTCGCTTTCACATTGAAATACACAGTGCCTTTACTTTAGGTGGCAGCAACAACACTACAGCGAGAATAAAAGTTACGCCTTCTTTCTTTGCGTGCACATTTGGGCGGCGTTATGCAAATCTTCCCACATCGTGATGTAGACATGTGGGGGCGTGTTAGAACGAGCCGTTTTAGGTAGGCGTGGTTGACTCTTAACTTTTATAAAGACTATCTCTTTGGATTTGAGACTTTAGTTTTTGCAACTTTACAGATCTTCTTTATGCACCAAGAGCTTGTAACACTCCAAAGAGAAAGGACAAATTGAAATCGCATCATATGACCCCTTTAATTATTTATATTTATTAATTTACACAAACCATGCATTTTCTGCTTTAAATTTTGTTGTTGTTTTCTGTAATGTATGCATGCACACACACACATATATATATATATGTGATGTGATGTGTTTTTGCATGTGTATATTTATATGATAACATTTACAAAAACATTTCAAAAACAAAGTAAAATGATACAGCTTTTAACACCATACATCTGTCAGGATTATGGACTATTCTGTGTGTGTTTTTGCCCCTGTGACCCAGTTTCTTCCTCATGTTGATTGTGTTAAGTTGATTCCAGGTGTGTCTCGTTCCTCCCCAATTATCCTGCCTTTAAAAGCCCTAGTCCTCTCAGTTCTTGTTTGTCGGGTCTACTTGTTGAATGTCCTTCTTGTTCTCGGTTTGCCTGTGGATTATTAAAGACTGTGTTATTCAAGTGCTCCTTGTTTACTCGTTCCTTGCTCCCGGAGTGAATTGTGACTATTACTATTATATTACTATTCTATGGTGTGACATTCAGAATAATTTATAATATGAAATATATTTCCTATTAATATGTTTTGAAAAATATTTGAATATATTTTGGACAAAAAAGTAAATTAAATATCAATATAAATACTGATAGTGTTGAATTGTAAAAAAAAAACTGCATACATATACAAATAAAAACAATTAATGTATACTTCTAGGAGTAGTTCAGAAAGTCTTCAGGAATTATGATGGCCATTTTATATATTTATAGAAAAATAAATTGTCACACCATATGGCTGTGTATGCCTAGAAAAGTTAAAATGCTTAAATCAGTGACAAACTTCTCACTGTTAAAGTCAGCGTAACCTGGAAGTTGAAGTATTTTAGTGACGTTCTTCCAAGTGAAGCCGAATACTAAATGAGAAAAAAGAGGCTTGATTTTAGGGCACCTTTCTCACCATCTCAGATTAATAGTTAAAAAAGTAAATATGATTAGGTTTGATTTCATGCAGACTTTAAAGGTCAGTTGCCCAAGTGTTTATGCATTGATTTTGAAATTGAGTAAGTTTAAAGAGCTAGCAGGGCTAGTTACCCTGTTTTATACAGAAGCTCATAAATGGGCAGTTTTCATGACCAGGTGAAACAGATACAATCAGAGACTTTTATGCGAATGGAGAGAAATGGAGGGGGGCAGCGAGAAGGAGGGGAGGAGAGGGGGTGGGGTGAGGGGAAGGTCAGAGTGCTGCTCTGCATGATAAAGATGTTGGCGCTGTCGTCAGGATTCTCTGCACGCAGGCCGGATATTACCTCTTTATCCACATGTCATTCCAACCCATTCTACCAAGATACACAAGCTGAAGGAGGCTGTCTAACTCCTTCATGAGTAAGAACAAAAGGATCAGCTTTTTATTTAAGCCTGTAATCACAGCTACTCAATGCTAACTCTCCCAAACACAGAGAGGAGCTCGCCATCTAGGTCAGGGGTTTTCAAATTGAGGTCCAGGGGACCTCCAGGGGGCTGCAAGGGGGTGCTAAGGGGTCCATGAAAAATGTAACTGAAAAAAATATATAAAATGTATTTTTAGGGCTGTCAGTGTTAATGTGGGTACTTAAGATGTCTATAAAATATTAAGTCTTTTTTTTTTACATTCACTAAATATAATAATACTAAAATAGTATATATTATATAATATAATTGTTTTTTTATTATTATTTATAAATATATATATAAAATACTTTAAAGTGTTAACAGTTTTAGAGAATATTAATAAAACATTTTTTTTTTTTTATAAAATGCATTTTTGTTTTGGCTGTAAATGATATTGACACTTAAAATATTAATGAAATGAGTGTATGTGCATGTGTGTCTGTAGTTTATTTTTATTTTCCCAATGGAAACTTATAGAAATTATTTACATTTTACATTTGTCTATACATTTATGTTTTTATTTATATGTAATAAAATATTTTTAAAGTTTTAATCTCAGATAACCTTAATAAAAGTAACTATTTTAGAGAATATTAATAATGATAATTTGCTTGAAAAAATAAAAATGAAAATATATTTTAATTTGGGAAACATTTATTTAATTATGTTGTGTTTATAATATTACATTTCATATTTTTCTCACACATTTTTTTTCTCACATATTTGGGGGTCCTTGGCATCAAAATGTTTAAAAGTCCTAACTTAGGTTGTCTTCAGGTCAACTCCTGGAGTCAGAGGATAGAGGTCAAGTTCTTAATGTCGTAAGATGGTACCACCACAACCTATAATGTGATGTATGTTGTGTAATAGGTCAAAGGTCAACTTTGGGGTCATATATTGGAAGACTGAACTTGAAAATGTGAGGTAGGAGGTGACGATGTCCTTCACGATGGCCATGGTAACTCTATTCATGCGATTAGATTGTTATTAGCATTCCATGAGGCTGATCATCTATTGATCTCCTCCGTCTGTGAGATTTTGAGGACATCAAATACGTGAGGCAAAAGCTGCTTAGTTTGATGCATAGGCCAAGAGGAAGGAAGGGTGGGTTGGATAAAATGAGTGAAAGAAAAAGAACGAGAGAGCTGATGAAGACAAATCTAAGAAAAAATCCTGAGCGTTGCATAGACTAAAAGTAGACAGGCAGAAATTTGGTCGTATTTGCTGGTTTTCACTCAAGTCGAGCTGATCTGCTTATTATCAGACCTGAAAAACTCCTGTAACCCGTTCATCCTCTTCCTGACCCCAGCATCTTCTCCGTTTCTCCTTACCTCACTCGGTCCAAATCTCTCAATCTCCGGTGGCTTGCCGAAAGGCTTCAGTCAGCCGTTTCTGCTTGGCTACCCTCAGTAAATCAATCCTGCTGATTGGGTCTGCTCTCTGACAGGGCAGGGACCCTGACGAAGACTAAGAGAGATGTATACATGTTGCTCCTGGTTACAGTCACCTGGCTACAGTGGCTTGGATTGGTGGGAAGGGCTGTAAGCGAAAGGGAGATGAATGGAAACAGCGAGGTTTGTTCAGAACAGGCTAAATTAAAGTTTTAGGTTGAAAGCGGAATGTGTGTTTCTTCATCTCAGGCCTTGACATTTTGAGCATCTATAGATTTGTGGGTTCTGCTTTCAAGTGTGCACATTTACATTTGCATGCCGGTATGTATATTGAGTGGAGCTCTCAGAGTACCTTTGGGGACAGCGTTAAGTTGATCAGTCATACAAATGAATGCAGTTTATGAGTAGAATAATCTACCTCCTGCTCTCCAGAGAACATTGCTTTCAAAGAAACACCATGATGGGATTTCTTCTTACTCTCAACAGATGCAGAGCAACCAATCGAAAGTACGACATGATGTTATTTCTGTGCGCAACATGCTAACTTTGTCATCTTTCTTATTCATATACATGTAAGTGCATGCATTTCAGATGTCTGTGCATACAAATATTAGCATATTTGTGTTTTTCATTCTTTGGCAGGAGAATTTCAACCCAGAGTGCAAATTCAAAGAGAGCGTGTTTGAGAACTACTACGTGACGTACTCCTCCATGCTGTACCGCCAAAGCCAGTCTGGACGCTCGTGGTACATCGGCATCAACCGGGATGGCAAAGTGATGAAGGGCAACCGTGTGAAGAAGACCAAAGCGGCTGCACACTTCCTACCTAAAGTTATCGAAGGTCAGATTACATTTTAAACTTCAGACATATTCAGATGCAGAATACAGATTAGCAAAGATTCCAAAATTCCCAGATGGAAAATCTAACTTAAAGGGGTAACTGAGTTTTGGTTTCTAGCTGGTTTAAGCTTGTCAATAGCTGGTCCAAGCAGGTGATAAGCTAGCAGACCAGTTTGGACCAGCAACAAACCAGCTAATGTGGTCAGTATGGTTTATAATAATAACCAAGCTAATGACCAGCCAATAACCAGCTAGTTTAGACCAAATTATAACCATTTTACACTAGCATAGACCAGCTAGTAACCAGCTTGCAGTATCTTAGACCAGATAATAACTATTTTACACTAGCATAGACCAGCTAGTAACTAGCTTGTAGTATCTTAGACCAAATAATAACCAGCTTCGACCACCTAATAACCATCTTGTGCCAGCTAATGACCATCTTAGATCGGCTAACCCTCTTGCACCAGATTAAATCAACCAATAACCAGTTTATAGCAGTTACCTGGATAAGCGAATTACCAACTTTCACCAGCTTGGACCAGCTATTGACCTGCTTGCACTAATGTAGACCAGATAATAACCAGATTGCACTAGTTTAGACAAGTTAATAACCAGCTTAGACCACCTAATAACCAGTTTACATCAGCTAATAACAATTTTAGATCAGCTAACAACCAGCCTGCACCTGCTTAAATAACTAGCAAATAACTAGTTTGCTCTAGCATAGACCAGCTAATATCCAGCTTCAACAATCTTAAACCAGATAATAACTACATTGTACCACCTAATGACCCTTTCCATTATTCAAATTAGTGGTCAACCGACATGGGTCTTCAATGGCAGATTCTTGAAGTTTTACATTGTACTATTTATGAACTGTAATTTTAGTTTCTCTGTTGTTGTTTTAAATAACATCCGTGTCTTTGTTCTTCTTGTTCCCTCAGTGGCCATGTACAAGGAACCTTCACTGCATGAGCTTGTAGCGGAGCAGAGCCCTCCACGCAAAACTGTAAAGACTTCAGACTCCCCTTCTCACCAGAATGGCAGGAAAGAAGCCCCTAGAGCTGATGCTTCATAGCACAGGGGGCTCACACAGGGAGGGTGAGGGACTACATTGACACTGAGAACTCCATTTTCCTTCATGCAATGGGGGCAGGAAAAGCTGTGTAAGTGGCTGCCATCTGTGGGTTTTTGAATGGGGCGTGATAATGACAGCAGCCCCTGGCTCTCTGCAATGTGCAGAGAATCCCTGCCGCTCTCCGCTGAACCAGCTCACATATATTTCCACTGACCCGGCATGACACCTGACCCCGCGTATGATTCGATAATCCTCTGCAAAAACATGTTTCTTTGCCCCACATTCCCTACTTGAGTTCTCTAAGAAAGATGAAAAATGCAAACAATATCCATCCTAACTGAATAATTCAATTGTCTTTTCTTTCCCTATGGTTTCTTTTTGTTTGAACGAAGAGTTTTGGTGTGGGAATGAGAGCGAGAGAGAGAGCGAGAGAGAGAGAGAGAGAGAGAGAGAGAGAGAGAGAGAGGTTATTATCCAATATCATCATAATGATTCCAGCAGATGAGACCCTCGCTGGTTCATTTTTTTCCTGTCATCATTTTGCCAATTGCTGCTCTGTGCCATTCAGAACTATTGGAAGGGGTGCAGTAAAATTTTTTTTTTTTTTACCATTCAAGGAGGATCCAGTTCTATTGGTCAGCAGGTGTAGATTGATTTCTGCTGGGCCGCTGCCAGGGAAGCCAATGGCATTGTGCAGAATTTGTGATTGGGCAGCTTTTTAAATTAAACATAACTCTGTAGTTCCACTTCCTTCCACTGTCTGATATTCTCAGAAACAACCCGATGATGATAATGAGTTTAGATTGAATCCACAACCCAAACACATCTGTTTTTGGTTTAATTGTGGATACACCTGTAAGATCAAAAAAAAAAAAGAACTAAATTCTCTTGTGACGACTTTATTCATGTTTAATAGCCAGTGGGCTTGAAGCAGCATCCGTATCATTGGAAAACGACTGGAGATTCGGGGCAATTGTTTGATAGCTCTTTGATGGAATTCTTACAGGGGGTTACATGGAGTCCAGCCATGATTGCTTGAATTATTTACTCCATTTCCTGGGAACATTCGGCTCGTTCAAGCAACTCAGATGAGATATTTTAATATGCAAATTTAAATTGTGGCGAGCCGATCAATGACACAGTGTTTGTGTGGATTTAGACGTGAGTATTAGAGCGTGAAAGAGACAGAACGATGTGAAATTAACATCTGCTTCCATTATTTATTTATGTGTGTGTGGCTGTCTGAGCACACATGTGTAAACGCACTGACTTGCACACCACAGTTGATCATTTTAATGGTTTGGTCAAGTCTGGGCATTTTAATCTGCCTGGAAATGTTGACTGATGACCCACTCCAGGTTTCATAATTGACACATAACCAAGAGGAAGTGCTGCGACATCCAGGATCTCTTTGTAATTCCAAAGCCATCTTATTAGTCTACACACACCACACTCCGTAAGTTGTTACCAATGTGTATTTGAGTAAAACATTGGTCAACCAGCTTCCAAAAGGTGCCTGTTTGTCCTACAGAAGAGAAGTGATCTCCTCTTTGACATCATGCATTTGTTGGCCAATAGCAGCCGCTGGGGCTGTAGAAGGCAACGACCTGAGTGGTTGTAGGTGTGATAGGTTCACAACTTTGGTTTTGCTGTTATTCTGTCTGAGAAAGGTCATTTGCCGATACTTATTTCTGTTCGCATGGACTTAAAGTCCTTGAGCTGTACCCCAAACACCTGAAAAAAAATAAAAATAAATAAAAAAAATAAGTACATAAAATTAATCAAACTTTGACTAACAATATTAAATCAAAGGACTTAAAATATTTAGGAAAATACAACAGGAAATCAGCAGAATGTATAGTGGATGTTGGTGAAGGTTTGCGCATGTTGCAGAACGTTTTTAGCATGTTGAAGCATGGTACGTGTCTCGATGAAAGTTGGTAGCAAGTCGAATATTAAAAGAATATTCCAGGTTCAACTGAATCAACAGCAGATGTGGCATAATGTTGATTACACCAAAAATGCATTTAAACTTGTTCCTCATTTTCTTTAGAAAAAAACAAAAAAATCTAGGTTACAAAGTGATGCACTTTAAATGAATAAGAATAGGACACATTTTTTGATTTTCAAGCAGAAATGTGAAGGTTTTCATTTTATAAAACACTTACATTTATTGTTCTGTTTATTATAACTGTAAAGCTGTTTAAATTACCATTTTCTAATATTTTCTTTATGGTTTTAACTGTTTCGTTGTCATGGCAAGTAAAATTTAATAAACCTTTACACTGAAAAAGTAAGTAAAACAAAAAAAAAAACACTCAAACTGAAACCTACAAGCCAGCACACCTTTTTTTCTGATCAGGTCTTCCAAACGAAACGAATAAGAAAACAAGCCAGTCCTTTTCTTCCCTGTCCTCTTGTCTTCCAAAAAAGCAAAGTCTTCCACTAGCCAGGGCTTGCCTGAGTGTGGCAGTAACTGCCAAACAGAACATGGCTTCCTGCCTAAGCCCCGCCTCTGATCTTACAGTGAATGCAGGAACAGGCTGATTGGCTGACAGTCACCGGAGGCAGAGCTACACACACCTGTCCTACGAAACAGTATTGAGGCCTGCGTGGAGACCTGATGAAGGCTGACCATAGACTAACAGCCTGGGTCATCTGGCCATCCCCTGCGCTCCTAACCAGCATGGCGGACTTGCTGCTCTGAAATCCAACACACCTGGAGAATACTGGGAATCTATTGCATGCATCCCACTTCGGAAATACTAGGAAAGGACTCCCTGTTACAGAGCACAGGATCTCCTTAGCACCAACTCCTAACCTCCAACTTGCCATCCTGTGTACTATTCTAGAGCAATTATACATCTCTGGGTTAGGAGGAGGAAGGGGGTGTGTCTTATTATTACATATTATTGAATAAACAGTTATATTTGTATTATTGTAAGATGTGTGATGGACTATGTTGTGTAAAATGTTTTTAGGTGATCGCTGCTCCTGGTTTTAGAAAATTACCATGCATAACATCAGAGACATGTAGGAAACAGATGGCACAGACAGCTGCAGGTACTCACAGCCAAGCAGTCAGGTGACAGGTGACAGACAACCTCTGCTCCTTACACTTAGCATTGGCACACTGCGCACGGACAACACATACATACACATGAAATGCTCGCTGTGCGCAGTATTCATTTAACTTGTTCATTTTATGTCACCAGACCTTGACTAATCCTCTCACTGGCCACCTACGAACATCTGCATTATGTCACTGCATTACAGGAAGTCTCGCTAATCAGATGAGGAATTAATCAGAATTAATACCACAGGGTTGAATATAAACCACAGCCCACTCTCACTCTCGCATGCAGGCTCGTTATAAAATCGTAGATCATCTTCCTGACCCTTCAAGCAAACCGAGATAATTGTCTTGAATGCCTTTACAGACCCAACAAACTCTTAAAACAAGCTTCTTCTATATATTTGAGAATTAGCTGGCAGTTGATGGATTAATATGAGAAAATTACACGCAGAACAGGGTCTGAATTTCAGCGTGGGAGGACAAAACGAATACAGATCCCTCTGCTGTTTAACTAAAAGTAATCCTAGAAACTAATTCTAGATCAGGACACCTGCTGCTAGAATATTCTGAAATATTTCGAAGCCAGATCGCTTATAGGAGATAATGACACCATGTGGGTTAAACAAGGAAAGAGCGAAGGCATCAAAAATAAATTAAAAAAGATGGTTGTGCTGTGATCATTTCTCTGCAGGATGAAGGGAGAGTCTAAAATACTGTTGTAAGTTTTAGAAAACACTTTAGACATTTTTACTGTCTTGTTTTCTCGTGGTCACAGGGTTTTCACAATCTCAACATAAAAGTTGTTTTTGTCATGATGTTAGCTTTTGCAAACTATTTAACTGGCATCTTTTAAACATCATTATACAATCATTCATCAGTAAGTTGAAACATTTACGATAAAATTTAAAACCAACTGAAACCACATGTATACAAAAATATCACAGGTGTCAAGCCACTTGTTAAGATAATAATAATAATAATAGCCTAATAATAAATAAATAAATAAACAAACACATTATTAGATAAGGAGTAACTAAGTGATTCTCTTAATGAATAACAATAAAAATGACGTGACAAAACGATGTAGGCCAGGCTAATACAAAACCGTTTTTTTGAATCTCGATTCAACAATACTACAAGAACGAGGGTAAGAACTACTTGCGTACGCACGTGTTGTGAATCCTCTGGAAATCCTGTGTGGTTTTTGAGCTCATAAATACACAAAGTGTTCAAAAATATTTAGCGAATGACCCTCACTGACTTGGAAGTCAGTCTACCACTGACATAACATAGAGCTATTACAGTTGGAATGAGTCCCTGAACGACGAAAAACGAACTAATTCGCTCATTCATAATGCAGCTGTAGCCTATAATGTACTTAGAAATGGCGTTTGTTACCTCAAAGCCAAAATAAAACAGCAAGAGAATTTCGTGCTACCTTTTTGACAAGAAATTATGTCATAATCAAAAGAAGCAAAAGAAGACCGAATCAAAATAATTATTCATAGCCTATTTGGGTTTCCGTAAGATACTGGCAGCAGTACAAATACCCTATTACATCACAAATACCTTTGATTTGACTGCATTTTACACACCCACTAACAAAAGCGCACCATAACTTGGTTTTGAGTCCCCCAGGCTGAATTTGAAAGCATCAGAGAAGCTATGAGTCATGGTTGTATCAGACCTTCACCTGCAGGCAAGCCTCTGCAACTCTCGATAAAGGTAAACCACAACAGTAATGCACAAATCTGTCAAGTGTGATAAAAGCTCAGTAGAATTTTTTTTTTCCATGGTTAAATTCTAATGGTAAGTCTTCCAAGTGACCACATAAAAGTAGATTGCTGGGCACCCTGCTGCAATCTCGCCTGTGTTCACGGTGCTCTGGAGGAAATACAGCAAAATGGTAGAAGTAATAATTGATCCATTATTCATGGACGTGTCC